GAATGTTTCCAGCTGGCCTCTCTTAATAGTTCTTATGGTGAAGATTTGTACCTTATGAAAACATTAAAACAGAATATAAATCCTCCTACCTCCCACTTGTGCTCCTAATAGGGAAAATCACCTCACTCTGCACTAGTCATCTTTGCCAATTATTTTAGGATGGAAGAATCTCTGTCTGGAGTTTCTTTGGTTTTTCTGCTCGTTATAGGGTGAATCTATACCTTAAAGTATATGCCTATATTTGAGATGGCTAAAACCAGGTGAGATAAATGTATCATTTTGGAGGAAAAAGGTTAACATTTTCTCCTACAGTCATTGTGAAAATGTAAAATGTTTTCCCACATTATTTCCAGAAGCGTACAGAATAAAACAGCTGGTCAACCAGCTGCATTTCAAGAGGTTCAATAATCCAGAAAAAGAATCAGTGAAAAATCATGCACCCATTTTTGTACCTTTTATGATTTATGATTTTAAAAGCCTATCCAAACCCTTTATCCTGCAAGGTATTTCCCAAGAAACAGACCTTGACATTGCTATGAATTCCACTGCACATGAGAGCCAAAAAAATGTGGCATTAACTTCATGCCACAAGCACTTTCTGCTTTACCCATTTTTCAGCCATTGCTCCTGAACACAGCCGGCAGGGACAAAATGTGCTGCTTCTCCAGGTAATGTCCATGCACAGTCCTGCATCTCCAGCTAAACACTCCTCCATAAACAGACAGCTGACCTTATGCTGAGTGCCTGTGCCATTTCTTCTATGGACTGGTAGATGGAAAAGTCTTTGGTACAGTGAGGGTAACAAACCACTAAAGATCAGTAACCTGCCATGGTGAGATTTAACAGATACTTCATTTTCCACCTGTCGTAATTGTGATGTTTTCTTTCTTAGACGCCTCCTGCAGTTTCTTGTACTTGCCACCACATCAAGGTTCCAAATGATCAGACAAACACTATCTTTTTAAATTCTCTGTGCATCTTTCTGTTCATGATTAACAGATACAATAACATCAAATAAAAGAAGGGTGGGGGGAGAAACAGTGTTGTAAAATTTAACTGTGGTTAAAATCCAGCCAACTAAATAAGAGTTAAAGAAATTTTGCCAGTTCTGTCAGTCCCTAGTTGATTGAAAGATTTAATAGATGTACCATCTTCACTATAAATACAGCATTAGTCTTCTGACATATAGAGAGGACTTTATTTTTAGTAAACGTAATTTAATGTTGAAAAACGTTACTTCTTGGAGCATTAGGTATTTTATATACAGTTGTATAATTGAGCATCGTGATTACCACAGCACCCATAATTTGATTATGAAGGTCTTTTTTGTTATTTACTATAGATACAAGTCTAATGTATACCTTTTAGAAGCTGTGTCAAAATGGACATGGCTATATGAGTTATTCATCTTCTGCCAGGAAAATCATCTAGTGGGTACCAAAAGAAGAGAGTCGGGCACAAGGATCTATGCCTTGTGGAAAATCATAACTGCTTCTTGCTGCGGTACTTCTACTGTCACTTTCTGGCTTGTACAAAGTGAGGTCCTGGCACACCCTGCCTGTTCCCCTGCCAGAATTCGGAGTGGCCAGAGTCCATCGCAGCTGCCAGATGAGTGCACTGCATTGAGAGAGGGAAAGCACTGCCTCCACCGGCTCCCTTTTCTGCCAGCACAATGCAGAGGAAGGCATGAGTCACCCTGCACAGACTTCCTGTATGACTTTGATTAGCTAAGATCTTTTTTTACGTAATTAAATTTTTAAAGGAGATGTATAATGGCCTGCATTTTCCAGAGTAATAGGTTACTTTGTTATTCTCAGCTTCTTTGATGAAATTGATAAAGCTAAGTGTCCAGATCTCTTCTGAAAACAGACCCACTTTAAGGTTGAAGACAGACACATGCCGTGGTTTAAAATTGCTGGTGGCTCGATCTTTTGAAAGATGGGCAGAGAGCATAGATTTCTAGCAGAAAACCCTCCACCTTTTTAGTCTTGGTTTTAGTGGTTTCTCTAATTGAAAAAGCATGCTTTACTCAGAATGTTTCCCAAATTCATTCCATCTAGATATGACTTGGCATCGCCATTACATACCTGTACCTTGAAGACAAGCTGTTTTTAAATCAGTACACACTTCTTTCTAAAACGCCCCTATTTTTAAAATTAACATTCCTGCTTGTTAAAATTCCTCTTGCCCTGTAAAAACTGACTGATCTTATGGGACTTGATGTGATTCAGGCTGCAGGCAACCTGGTCCTTTCAGACCACTGAGGACTGTGGGCAAATAATGTTTGGTCCTGTATGTGCTGGACTCCTTTCTTTCAGCCTACTGTGCACAAATGGCACAAATGGTGTATCCTTTTTTTTTTTTTTTTTAGAATATTTTGATGTTTTCTGGATGGGATTACTATAGAGCTCTGAAAACCGGCTATTGCACAGGTCACATAGCTGTTTGGATATGCATTACCATTGCAAATTCTGCCCATTTTAAAAATACTTGGAATACATATTTTGCCACGTAATTAAACTGTGATGTTTCCAGTGGAAGTGTTATGTGCTATCAAGCTCATAATATCAGTTAAAAAGAATTTTTTTAAAGATGATGCGCACAATGCAGTCTGAAGAATAATATATCTTTTCACAATCTATTGAACTAAATTTGCATAATTTAATTTTTTGAAGTCCATAAATACTTATTTATTTGCAAATGCCCTACATTATGATGTGACTGTATCAACTCTCATGTACCCTAATGAGAATTAAAGAAATTAAAAATCGGGGCACTGACACAAGAAAAATGAAAAGAACCCTATATAAATAACCAGGAAAAAAATATGATACAAAACCTGGAAATTAGACACATTTAAAATTAAAGCTGACATGCTGTACTCAATCCACCCTGCTGCATATAGGGACTGTTGAAAAGTGGGTGTTTTGTGATTGTTTTTTCAAAGTGAATCTCATTCTCAGGAAAGATTCTGGGCTGACACCACTAGCATGCAAAGGTTGTGTTCTTTTTTTAAATGTTCCACACATGAACTATAGAAAAACCCAAGAAACATATGAGCTACTGAGCATCCTTGTCTCTGAGGGAACTGAGTGGAAAGAAGGGCATTCAAAATCCCACAGGATGGACTTTCTCTTTGTTTCCTTTTCATTCACTTTTAGATTTTGTCATTGGAAAAAGTTCTAGATAAGAAAATAATTGGGTTTTCTTGCCTGTCTTGCCCAAGCTGTTTGGTTTGTGAGAATTTATGGGCTTCACAGCTCCAACATAGGAACTGGAAGGGTCGTCTTCTTACCACTAAATGTCTCAATCAGGCACACCTTCTGTGGGGTGAAGAATTTTGCCTAGAAAACATCTCATTGTTGCAGACTGAGGACAATCTCACAAACCAGGTGCACAGCCCTCTTCCATGCAAAATTACAAGGAAGTCAATGCACTGGAAATGTATTTATTCATTTTTGTTTCCTAGTCCAAAACCAGCTAGTTCTCTAAAACATCAGAGCAAGATTTAGCTAATCTCCCCCTGAATGAGGTTCCTGGTTTTGCCCTATGTGCAAGGACGTTTTTGCACTGATCTCTTTGCAAGACCAGGGTCTTTTATTGAGTGTATTCTGATCAAAATCAATATTCAGCCCTTTGCATGCTTGGGTTTGTGAAGGAGTTCAAGAAACAAGAAGCTATTTTCACTGTAAAAAAAAAAAAAAAAAGTAAGGCATGAAAAGCAGCCTAAAATAAGATTGTAGACTTTCTCATTTGAAATTTAACAGAAAAAAATAATCGGTTTACTGTAACCTTAACTGCACAATGCAGATGCTTACTTGAGATATGAAGGCAGGATTTTCTTCTGGCAGGATTTGGAGGTTCTTTCCAAAAAGCCTTTATGCTCTGCAACAGACATGAACACAACGGTGCGAGCAGAAGCATCACATTGCATTCTACAGCTGGAACAAGCAAACAAAAAGCCTCTCTATAATTGTTATGCATACATTAGTGCAATGGAAAGAGACCCTCTTGGCAGTGTCTCTGTGGCACTGAAACAATTCTTTTGTACTTTTTTTTTAAATTATAGACAGGAGCAGCTATCTTGTCTGCTCCACTCCATCTTATTGATTCAAGTCTTGACAATCAAGCTGTATATGAAGTGGATGCATCAGTTTGAGTTACAAGCATCATTTAAAATACTCAGTTGCATATTTTACATATTACTATTCCGTAATTATACAGCTGCATCATGCTTCTTGTCCAGAAATTCCTGGAAACCTGAAATTGCTTGTTCCTTGATGTGGCCACAGGCTGTTGAAATTCAAATGAGCTTTTTGCTCAGCTGGAATTGTATTAAGTATGTAGGACAGCCTGTGATGCCGGGATTGGAGGCAGGAGACAACTCTTGTTAGTAAATGTGTGTTTGAGCTTATTGGTATTACTGAATCATCTGAATCAAGCTAATAATCTGAAAGTTAAAGGAAGCCTCTTTAAGGGAGCGATGCCTCACCAGGAGAATAGGAACAAGTCTGGGCCACATCTTTGTAAGTAATGAATTCTCATTTCTTTTCAATCTAGCAAATGCCCTCTTTAAAGGTTAATTCTTAAATAGTCACTTGGGAAGAGATGTCTCCTTCACTCTGATCTCTGTGAGTAAAGCAGACTGCAAAGAAACTTCAGTTTGTCTCTTTTATTACCCGATACCCCTTTCTTTCAGATTAAAACTGCTGATAAAGATGATTTCCACTGCCTGATCTCCTGATTATTTTGTAGTTGCTGAATATGGGAATGAGCTGAAGCAACTGAACAATAACAAACTAATACCCATGCAAGTTACAGCTGTAACAATTTCCCGAATTCTTCACTTTTATTTGAGGTAGTGAGGCAAAAGAGAATATGTTTTTTTTGTACATCGTTCAGGCAGCACAGACACTCTGAGGAGGTAACTGCCTTGGCTGAGCAAAGGACCTTAAAGACTGTTGGGATGATACAGCAAATTGCTTTTTTCTCTTGTTTAGGGTGATGTGGCTGAACACTGAGTAGCAACTAAAGAATGTCTGTGACAATCAAAAAGAATGCTGTCCTTGTTCCATGGCCCTCACGGACCTAGATAATCACCCCCACCTCCTACCCCCAGCTCTGAAATTCCCGCAAAGATAAAACGAGTTGAAATTGTTTTGACACTGTTCATTCATCTGTATGAGCGTGGAACGAGAAAGTTCGACAGGAAAATACTTCAGAGACATATGATAAACTAATACTACCCAGATGAATGCAAACGCTACCTGGAATATAGATGACGGTGGGTAAATTGCTTCAAATGAGCCTTATTGATTCCACTCTCTGTTGATGGGGCATATCTGAAGGAGGAAGTTTCATTTAAACACTTGGGCACTGCAGTAATTAAATGAACTCTGGGACAGTTTACGTATTGGACTGGCTCTGATTCTTTAGGAGCTGGTGACTATCTCTCTTAAACATGAAGCATGTTAATAGCCAAGCAGCTAATTTATTGTAATGAAATGAAAAAATACTGTAGCACCCTTGCGGCCCAGATAATGTAGCAGCAGGTTACTGTTCTGATGAATAGGGACGTTGCTCAGCAGATGTAATGCTTTCTAGTCTTGGAAAAGGATAGATCAATTTCTTATTCTTTATGAAGAAGGATGATTCCTTTGCAGCACTGCTGAGAGATGTGGACGTCTACATCTTCGAGTTAATCACCCCCAGAACAATCCAACCACTACAGGTATGCTTAGCTGTTATTTTTCTTGCTGTATAAATAAGAAATTTATAGAACAGGAAATAAAAGAGGGATTTGATTTCTATTTCTGTACCTTGATAGTATTTCTATAGACTTCTACTGCTGGCATTGTATTTAAGGAAAGCAGGAGAGGTGCAAGGCCATCTCCTGAGGGCTGGAAAGTCTGTAGGTGGGAACACACGGGACTTCCAGGCTGAGAGAGCTGTGTTTGGGTGGGCAGCCCAGTGAAAGGCTGTGGTTCAGTAGATGGCAGTCTTCCCTCAGAGTCTGCTTGGTCCCTGCCTGGGCTGAGCTGGGGTGGAGCTGGGAAAGGGACTTTGCTCCTCTGGAAGTTCACCAGCCCCCGCCTTATTGCAAATCCCATTTTCAAACCCTTTATGCACTGTTTCATAAGGCACTTCTGGGAGCTAGTGGTGATGCACACAGTGCTACATAAGCATTGTTTAGAGGTGCCAGTTACAAAAGCCTTTACTAGTATTCTGTCCCCTAAGCTCCCCATTTGCCTTTGGTTGTGAGAGGTGAATTGTGTTTGAGCACACAGAAGAGCAGAGGAATGGAGCACAGAAAACTGAACCAGCTCTGGTAACAACCGCCTCCCAGTTTTTCTCTCAACCAATATCTGAGATCTCTTACAGTCCATTTTTGTAGTAGACAAAAAAATGGCACAGTGACAGTGTTGATGAATGCCCTGGACAGCTTGTTCCTGGCCACCACCATTGAATAGCATTATAACAGTATTACTGAATGAGTGACATTTAGGATGATACATTATGCTTTGCATAAAGATGATTCCTAACATAAAAATCAATGTCTGGAATTTATTATGTCATTTAACTTAACTCTTGATTTTCATTAATTTGGGAAATGTAGCACTCCCAAATGATACTCAGAAAAGAAAAGGCAGCTATGTCCTATGTTGCAAGCATGTCAATAGCAAATCCCCCTTGCCAACATTCAGGGCTATTTGCAGAGAGTTCCCTGCTGTTCTCACTGCCCCAACTTTTGGTATGGTAAATAAGTTCTTCATGATTTAAGAATAGTTCAATAATTTTCTGTAACATGCTTTTCTTGTAGGCCCTCCTGACCTCTCTTCCCTCCTCAGCCTGTGCCACACTTAGGAGTTCACCAAGGGTGTCTTCATCTGAGACAAAGCTGAAGAAGCACCCCATGGCCTCTGCTTACGTTTGCAGACATGCACTGAAGTAGTCCTGCACATTTAGTCACTAAGAGACAATACAGAGCTGCAAGGGAGGACAGTCATTTTGTGGGAAATTCTGATTATCCATGAGTGTCAAACTGAAAAGAACATCTGATTGTGATCCTGCTTGTGAAAAACATTCTGAAAAATTGTTTAGGGAATAGAAAAATAACAAAATGTGGTGTTTTTTTTTTTTTTTAATAACATATGGATGCTTTGTTTCAATAAGGACCAAACACTTTGATTTGATGTCATTGGTCCTACTATACATATTCAGGTGGAGGGGAGAGTCTGATGACATTTTTCTATAATATTTCCAAAATGATGAAGTAAATTTATATTAGATATTAGGAATAACTTTTTGACTGGTAATCAGGACAAAAATTACAAAAAAAAAGCATTCTGAGGCTAGATTAGGCAAAGCTCTGCCAGAGATGCTCTATTTAAGTTGATCATACCTAAAAAGCAGAGGAATGGACAGTCAGTTACTGTCTTCAGGCAACTCCCAGCCTGTCAGTTCAGAGAAACTCTGCAATAAAACACAGTATCACTAGCAGTGAAGGAGAATGCTCTGGATTTTTCAAAATGAAATGTTTCAGCTATACTGAAAAGGAATGAGTAGACTATTTTAGTAAAATCTACAGATGGAAACTTTCCTGCAAAAGTGCTTTGATTTAAGTAGGACAGAATTTTCCATCAGGAATTTTTTAAACCAGTTTTGCTCTTCCTCTCTTTGGGGAGTGCTTTGTTACACAACCGTATCTTTCACCAAAATTCTTCCAACAGCCTGTTTCTTAGGTGTTTGCTAGAGAATTGGTTTCCCAGTTTGTGTGCTTCCCAGTCTAATGTATTTGGGTTGCAGCTCTGCAGGACCTTTTGGTAGTCTGGTTTGCCTGACTCACACCAACGTACAAATAGGAGAGGTCTTCACAGCAGCACATACTTTGCTAGAGAGATGGAAGTCGTGCTATTGAGTTTTGGGTCATTGACCCCGAGTCTAGTCTTTACAGAAAATCATTTGAAAAGCATGTATCAACAGAATCAGACTCTGCAAAGGCTATGGCTGTACTTGCAAAACATTGTTCATGTCCTGAAGACTTCAGCCAAGAAACTGTCTGTGTGGATCTAATTGCAGGTCAAATTGACAAAGAACAGTATGTGCTTGACTCTTACCATTAATCTAGTTTTTTATTGTCTGTAACTAGAAGCTATGTCCCTTTATCAGAGGTTTTTACAGGCTATGTCTATACTAGTAAATAAAACAGGCAGGGGCAGGCCTCCAGTCTTAAGGTGAGCTGGTGCTGCCTGGTATGTGTCCAGCCAGAACCTGCTCTGCTTCTCTGATAAAACAGGACTGCAGTGCCCAGTCTGCCAATGGAGAGAGGTCCCTGTCCTTTACTACCCCTGAGCCCTTCCTAGGCAATATTTGAGGCAGCAAAGCCAAAAGCAGCGTTAGGGACCAATAACAGCTTAACTGAAGGGACAGTTGCAGACCAGCTCTTGGCCTGTGTCTTGACCTTGTTTAATTTACTACTATAGACATAAACATACGTAAAGATATCCCCACTCTCAGTGTCCTGCTAAGGTAAGGAAAGACTATATTGACTTTCCATGCCTCCCTGCCCTCACAGATAAAGCGGTGAGAGGTGATGTGACTTGCCTATGTTTATGTAAAAATCATGTAGAAAAACTGGAAAGCATGTGACAGGCTCCATATTGCAGTGACCACTATTGTTTAAAACTGTGTACTGGCAGTGAAAGCCATGTTTTATGCAAGGGTCTCTTTCCTCTGTTCTGGCAATCAGTAGGGGCTTCAAAGTATGTGCACTTTAAAGTATTATAAATCATCGTTATAATACCAAAAGAATCCTCAGAATAGATGAGAAAAAGACAATTAATTTTTAAACACTCTTCTCTCCTTAAAAATTTGATAAGATACAGGGTTATTTTTACCTCCTGTTTGTTTGGAGTGGAAAATTTGTTTCAATTAGAGTGGCAGCTCCTCACCCCCAAAATGTACCATAATTATCAGTGAAAAGTGCAGAATCAACAGAAAAATCTGTTTCATGAATTGCTCATAAACACAAATAGTTCAGACAATACAACTCTACTTCCTGCTTGGGCACTTATCCAGGCAGTGCTCCAGCTGAGATTTATTTTCTATTATTTAATTTTAATTGAAAGTGCTGCTGCAGATACTGTGCACAAATACCAAGCCTGGTAACTGACTTAATTACATAATTTTCCTGGGAAAGCGTGACTTTACATATCCCCTTAATACAACCGCAGTTCCTGTGTAATATATCTCTCTTTCTCACTTTGGGTTTTGACAGATGGGCTCTGTCAGACTGAGCAGCCGTGATTCAAGGTGTTACCACCCTCAGCTCTCCTCTGCCCTGTGCTGCTGGGAGCTGCTACCCTGGAGCAGGGTGACAGAAGCCACCGTGATCTGCTCCGTTGCTGCAACTGTCAGGTGGCTTTGCAGCTTGAAGCGTTGATGAGCTGAGAGTGTGATCTCTGCTGAGCAGCAGCTACATTTGCCTCTGATGCCTCTGCTACGGGAACACTGACTTTGGAGAGAAAGTGGGGGTGGACAGATGGGGTGATAATGCCCTCAGCCACACTTACTGGTCTGTTAGAGCCCCCAGCTTCTTCTAACAGCATCCCAGCACTGCCTCCACACAAACGAATATTCTGTTTCAGTCATATCAGCACAAATTTCTCTGCGGCAAACTCCAAGCCATTGCCTTGTTGTTGACCATGTGTATACCCAAATGTTCAGAAACCCGAGTTGGGCTCCCCCAGTCATATTATGTTAAAGCATTTGAAAATTGAATTCTACAGTATTTAAATAGTACAAGCATAAAGGATACCAAGTTAACATTTTTTTGGTGTGGTTTTTTTTTTGTTATCATAAAGATGAATTTTCACATAACTGCATGAATTCCCAGGAACAAGGTGAACCCCTTCTTCTGGGACTTTCCAGAGAGTTTAGGGTGGTCCATGACAATATCAGAGCAGCACGTGTCCAAATTGTGGTCCCAAATCAGTGCTGCTGCCAGGCTCTGCTCTGGGACCTGCATGGGAGACAAGGAGAGGGTTTTCCTCGTGCCCACTCCCTCAGTAGAGAACTATGGAATCATAGAATGGATTGTGTTGGAAAGAACCTTAAAGACCTAGTCCTAACCCCCCTGCCATGGGCAGGGACACCTGCCACTAGACTAGGTGGCTCAAAGCACCATCCAACCTGGTCTTGAAAGGGCCTAGAGAAAGCACCTGTGGTTGCCCCTGGAGCAAAGGTGGAATCATTTCTTTCCTGCTGAGAAGAGAAGCCAAAGAAGAGCAGCACAGGGCTGTGGGAACAGTACATTGCTGCTGGGGAACTGTGTAGTGAGTGAGTTAGTCATTCTGTACCATGTTAGCCCAGTCCTGGGGAAGCAGAATGAAGGCCACTGTCATCTCAATAGATGGGCCTGCCCGGAAATTATGTTATTTGGCACAGTCAGCATCTACTCTTCATATATCAGACCCTAAATGACCCGCTGCCTCTTCAAAGTGCAGCTCAGGGTGTCGGTTTTGATCATTAAAGCTTCTCACTGTCTTTGTGCATTACCCAGTTCAGCTGGGAATTGTTTTCAGTAAGAGTCTTCTGCTCTGGAGCTGACCCCAATTTCAGTCACTGATAACATCAGTGAAATGGAAGGTCTAGCCATAGTGTCATGATCAAGAAATAATGATTTATAGACCACTTTGACAGATCACTATAGGTCAAGATGTGTAAGAATATTTTAATGTTACTTCAACAGAGAGATTTGCTGAGTGTTAATGGCAAATCATATTTTTTCCTCAGTAAGAATTCAGTTTTTTATCATATGTTGTATTTACTTGTGCAGTAGGTGTTAACAAACTAGCTGATGTATTTATTTCATTCTATAGCATGTATCAAAGAGCTATTTATTCACAATACAGTAATCATAAATTTGGTTTCCTTAGTGATTTTCCCTGCGTGTATGAACTCTGGTTTATGTTCAAATTCTTTTCCCTGCTAGATCAAATTAATTGTCTTCGGGGAAGATGGGGGGACTGAAGTGACACAATAATATTTGTGATGAAAATCTGAAAAAGGAGTGCTTTTGTGGTTATTTACAAGGTATATATTGAGGAACTGTGTGTTCATTATGTTGTACTAAAAATATAGGATAAATAATCTGTTTGGCTTTTATCCATAGAGTCAGAATGGAGCATGTATTAATTCTAACACAGTTGCATATCAGGAAGATGGATGGAAGAAGAAATTCTCAAAAAAAAACCCCCAAAATCTAAGTTTCATCCTAAGTCTTCCCTTCTTCATAATGCTTTTCTGCTCCATAGCTTTCTGTCTCAGGAGATGTGCCTCAGATCACCTCCTTGTGTTGAACTGCACAGCGCTCACGTGAGCAAACTTGAGAGTAGGTCCAGCCCCTTGGGGTTTCAGTATCCGGTGTCAGGTTGTTTGAGCAGAAAAATTGTCTGTTCTTACAAATTTTATTACTTCACCTCCTCCATTCCTATCCTGAAGAAGGATTTCTGAAAATGTAACAAATGTTTGGGATTTTCAGGTAACGAAATGTGGAAACAGGGCAAGACAATTTAACTTCCTTGACTCCCTTTAAGTAAAATCTTTCTATGCTTTTTAAGAACAAGGAGAGAGCACAAACTTAACTTGGAAAGATGCAGGTTTATATGAGCTTGCAGTCATCAGGAAGCATGTACAGCTAGGATGATTTCCTTGAAGATGTTAGCAAATCCACAGTCCTAGTAATATGAAATGCTCCTTGCTCTGCAGCCTGTTGGGAACCTTGTTGTGCTCTGACTCTCCTTGAAACGTGATGGCCCAGAGTACTGTGATTTCTGTTTATCTGTAACTCTTTTCTTTTTTTTCTTTTTTTTCTTTTTTTTCTTTTTTTTCTTTTTTTTTTTTTTTTAATACTGGATAACCAATCTGAGGTAAATTACAGTATTGTCTTGGCTGTATGTTCTTCCTGGGTTGTAGTTCTTAGTTCATGGATGTGTTGGTTTTGCTGTTGTGATGGTGTTAGAGGCTGTGATCAGGATTTTGCTCAG